GATAAAAACAACAAAACGACAATGACAAAAAAAAAATGACATAGGTTAAAGTGTCTGGTCCAGAGAGATGGTTCGGTGGTTAAGAGCAGGGGCAGCTCTTCTAGAGGGTCCAGTTATGCAACTCTTAGCCATCCATAAGCTAGTTCTAGAGGATCTGATGCCCTCTTCTGGCTGCCTCGGGTACTGCACAATATGTAGTGCACAGACACGCAACAGCAGAACACACAAACATTTTTTTTAAAAAGATAAAATATTATCTTGTCCATCATAATGACAGTGTATCGTATGCAACTTAACTACAATACTTGATATGAAAAACTCACAATTCATTTCCAAATTTGAGTTAGTCTAATAAACATCACAGGACAACAATTTAACGCACTAGTTTTCATTATTTTGACTATAAGTCCAGTAGTGAGATGATTGACTTGAATGGTGGTCCTCTTTGTGGCTTTTAATGCACCTCTGCATATATGTGTGTCCACCTGATCTTCAGCCCTCATGAGCCCGATCCTCTCTCCCTTTTTCTTTTCCTTCCTCCTCTTCGTTTCCCTTCCCACCGCTTTTTTAAAAACATTATTTTTATTCTATGTGTGCCAGTGTTTTGCCTGTAGGTATATGTGTACTACGTGCTTGTACTGGTTCCCATGGAGATCAGAAGCACTGGATCCCGTAGGAACCAGAGGTTAAACATGTTTGTGAGCCATTATGTGAGTGCTGAGAATCAAACCCAGATTCTCTGAAAGGACAACCAGTGTTCTTAACCACTGAGCCATCTCTCCATCCCCTCCCTCTCTCTTCCAACAGGTTCCCACGTACTCCGGGCTGACCTAAATGCACTATATAGTTGAGGCTAGTCTTGAACTCGTGATCCTAAGGCTTCCATCCCCCCCAAGTCCTATCCCATGCCTGTGATGAGACTGTAGGTATGTGCCACCATGTCCAGTCTTTGATAATTATACACTTCAAAATAGAGAAGGCTTTTAATGTTCCAGTCATAAAGTAACAATAAGCAGCTAAATGATAAATATGTCAAGTATCCCGTTCTGGTCATTATACATCGTGTGCATGGACTGAAATATCACACCACACCCTTATGTCTGTCAACTAGAAACTAGTTATACAGGTACTTGGGATGTTGCTCAGTAGGAGAGCATTTGCTTGGCATGTGAGGCTCTGGGTTTGCTCACCAGTGGCACATGCATGCACATGTGCACGTGTACACACACACACACACACACTTTAAAGTATAGTGAGGGGTAATGTCAACCTGACAGGATCTGAAGTCATCTAGGAGATACACTTTTGGGCATGCCCGCAAGGGGATTACCTAGGCTAGGCTAACCGAGGGGGGAGGAACTGCCTTGACGGTGGCTGAAGCGCTCTGTGGGGCAGGGCCCTGGAGTGAGTAAAAGGGAGAAAGCAAGCCAAGCTCCAGCATCCGTTGTCTTCTGCTTCCTGCTGCAGATCAGAGTGAGCAGCAGCCCTCCACTCCTGCCGCCGTGCCCGCCCACCGTGATGGGCTTCCTCTCAAACTGTGAGCACTTCCTGTCTGCAGATCAGAGCGGCCAGCAGCCCTCCACTCCTGCCGCCGTGCCCGCCCACCGTGATGGGCTTTCCTCCCAAACTGTGGGCAAAATAAACCCCCAAGTTGCTTTGGTCAGACATTTCTGCCCCAGCGGTGAAGAAAGCAGGGGATGCCAGCGTATTTAAAGGAGGGCTGCTTTAAGCCAGGCATGGTGGTGAGCACTTGTGATCCCAGCACTAGGAAGATAGAGGCAGGAGGATCAAGGAGTCCAAGGCCTGGCCACAAAGGAAGTTTTGAGGTCATCCTTAGGCTACATAAGACCCCCACCTCAGTTTAAAAAAAAAATGGAAAAGAACTAAATTGACAATTTCAGTTACTGCCCTCTCTTTGTTTTGGTGCTGTTTTTCAAAATAGAAAAAAAAAAGGTTTTTAAAATTAGCAAGCAGAGACTCAAAAATATTGATTATAACAGAGTAATGAGCAACTCTATGAAAGCCATGACTAAGTTTTGGTAAATATGGGATATATGAATGATGTGTCTGTTATTACTCAGAATATCCAGGAGTGGGCAACAGTGATGCCGTTTCCGTTCACATTTGCTTTCGGCTTTAACATCCTAGAGTCATATAAAAACAGTACATTGCCAAGTGTCCCAGTGCACACACAATCCCAACACCTGAGAAGTGGCGGCTGGAGGATCAGGAGTTCAAGGCTAGCTTCACCTCTATAAAACCCTGTCTCACAAACAAAAAAAAAAAAATCATCTATTCCTCCTTCTCTTCTGTTTGCTGTGAAGGCGCATTTCCCAGGTGTGAACCGGCATTTGCTTCGGCAAATACTTGATGTGTCTCCCCAGCATCTAATCCTATTACAGGTCTCAGATGCTCCTTGGCTGAGGAACATCTGCATGCACTGAGTGGTACCTGCCCGAGCCTCTCCCCATGACGGCACTGCTCACCTAGCCTGCCTAGGAAGAAGGTGAGCATGGCCAGCCTTCCAGGACCTTGAAGGAAGTTCTTAGCATAGCACCCAATGCCAGGCATTCACCCAGCAGCTCATGGCTTACATCTCCTGAGCTGGATGCAGTTGCCAACCTTGGGGCAAAAATCAGACTCTAAGATCTAAAACACAGCTCTTCGAATTCCCTCCACACCTACCCACTAAATTTATCAGTAAATAAAATTATCCAGCTAGACCCAGAGAGGTCATTGGGTTTTGCTTCTAGCTGCCGGTTCTTTGTGCCTTTCCGCCCTCTGAATGCTATCTGTCTCCATCCCTTTGGAACCCAAGGCCTTTGTATTCTAGCCATTCTTTGCATCAGCGTTCCAATCCGGCCTGACAGGAAGTTCATTTGCCTCACAGCGCTTGTACACCGTGCCTAAGCTGCCACACTCATGCTTGCGTGTAAGCCTGCATCGCGAATTTATAATAAGCCGTGTGTGTCTGACCGGGGGTTTGTCCCCACAAATCCTGAAGGTGCCCACTGCACAAGGTGCCAGGCTGTGTGGGGCTGACATTCCCTCTGCACTCCCAGGGCTGCTGGAGAGCCGGTGCCATCTACTGAATCCGGTTACCTACGCCCCAACGGGACATTGAGGTTTGCAGCTTTTCTAAATCACATAGAAGCATCAATACAGGCTGGATATGGTCTGCTTGCCTCCGTCCCTCTCCGCTGTCGTCCTCTTTCCATTCTCTGCAACTCCAGGGTCAGGAGAGCAGGCAGTTAACCTAGATGAAGTACAGCAACCACGTAAGCAAATAGGTCCCAAACTGTTTAAATTGCAAACAAGCGTATCACCTGCCCAGGTGAACTTGCCTTTGATAATCGGGGCTGGCGTAATAGAGAGCAGCCACCCACAGCGCAAGCCTGAATAAACTGTCCTAGAGTTCTCCCGACCTTGAGCTGCTCTGGACACGCAAGAGAGCAAACCAGCCCGACAGTCCTAGTGGAGCCTTGTCAGCCCACTAACTCCTGCAAAACGCCGCTCCAGACTCTCGGGCTCCACCTTCTGGCGCGTGCTCGCCTGACCTGACCTGTTCCTTGACTATACAGGTGGATCTCAACTGCAGCAATTTTGCCAGATTCCGACAGCTTGGGATGGCACAATCTAGGCAGAGAGTCAGACAGATGGAGCCCTGCGACGCTGCGAACCCTGCTGTGACAAACAGAGCAGGTCCACCCAAGGATGGACTTTCTGCCCCAGCTTACCGGTACAGCCACGGCTGTAAAGTCCTGGCGTGTGCTCACCTCCTCTTGGATCTGGCTCTTGTTCTTTTATTGACCCTCAAACGATCAATAAGACCACGGTCCCAAATCTACTCTTCCTTGGATGTAGACGTTGTGTTTCTTTTTTAACCTCATCTTGAACTCCAAATTCTTTGTGTGGCCGCAGCTCTGTGAGGATCTTGCCTGCTCTGACCTCACCCTGAAAAATTAAGGAGAGGCTGGAATGTCTCCGTGGTCAAGGTCACACACTGCTCTTGAAGAGGGCCTGGGTTCACACACACATACGTAATAAATAAGAACACATCTGTAAGGAAAAATTTTTAAGCAAAACACCGTGGAACCAGTTTAGTGATTGCTAGTGGGTTGCTTTTCACACCATGATTTTAGCTTTTTCGTTCTGAGACTACTCTAAATAACCCTTTACTGCCTGTTCTGCCTCCTTCACCAGGCTAGCTGGTGCTGCCTCTGCTAAGTAGTGTGTGCTCATGTTGGCTTGGGGCTTTCCTTTGTCTTTATGTGTATGGGTATTTTACCTGCATGGAAGTCTGCACACTGCGTGTGTTGCCTGTGGAGGCAAGAAGAACGTGTTTTCTCTCTTGTAACTGGGGTTACAGACTGCTGAGCTGCCTCGTGGGTGCTGGGAATCGAACCTGGTTCCTCTGCAAGAGCAGCGGTGATCTTAGCCAACTCTCCAGCTCTTTCTCTCTCTTGTTTGGGTCTTTTCATTTTTTATTTTTCTACCAACTCTCCTGTTACTGTGTACCTCACATCATAAGCCAAATATCTGTGACATCCATTCCCAATACTGCCTATAGTTCTTTGATTGATCTCTTCACACAGTAAGTTGAATGACACTCTGCTGTCCCTCTGTCCTATGCCTAGAATAGATAAATATGTTACCCTCCGTGACAAGGAAGACTTGTCAGCTGTAGTGAGGTGGCGATGGGAACCTAGTATGGCTGTGTCATGGATTTGGTAGGGTTTTTTAAATATTCATTTAATTTTATGTGTGAGTTTCTGCCTACATATATGTCTGTGCACCATATGAGTGCTTGGTGGAGATCAGAAGACAGTAGGTCCCTTGGGACCATCACGTGGGTGCGAGGAATTGAACCCAGGTCCCTCTCAAGAACAATGAGTGATCAGTCAGAGAGCTGGCTCAGAGGTTGAAGCACCACTTGCAGTGCCCGAGGTCCCGAGTTCGATTCCTGTCCGGGTAAGTAAGTGTGTGTGTGTGTGTCTGTGTGAATGTGTCTGTGTGTGTGAGAGAGAGATAATGTGTCTGTCTGTGTGTGTGAATGTGTCTGTGTGTGTGTGAATGTAGATATGCATGCATAATTAATCGGGAAAAAAAACGAGTGATCTCATTTGCTGAGCCCTTTACGTGGCTTAGAAGGGAGAGTGTGTCCTAGCTGCCACAGTGAAAGACTGAAGGTGGAAGAGTGGTCAGAAGTAATGCTGCTGGCTTTGAGACGGAAGAAGGAGTCACAATGGGAAGCTTTTTTTTTTTAAGACAAGATTTCATGTAGCCCCAGGCTGGCCTCCAACTCACTGGCTAGTTGAGGATAGCCCTGGAGGTTCTGCTTCTCCTGGCCTCGCTTCCTGCTAGGGCTAGGATTAGAGAGACATTTTCCACCATCTGGATATGGATTAATCCGGAGCAATGAGTGGTCTTCCAGGTGTGGGAAACCAAGTTCACAGTGAAGTGAGGTGGCCAGGGTGACAAAGGCAGACTGAACTACCACTGGGTTCTAGTGCTGTCCCATCACACAGCTCAGAAGGTCTGTACCAAATACCATGCAAGACTCGGCCTTGGTTGTCTGAAATCCAGAGCTGATGGCTAAGGTAAAATGCTCTAAGTATCTATGCTCATTTGAATGTACTAATGATGTTTGATACAGGGACTTTTTTTTTAAATAGCATCGAACTAAACCTTCTGGGTTGACTCAACAGTTTCTATCTACAAAGTTAACAATAACTTATTATATATTCCAAAGTGGGTAGAAAAGAAGGGATTTGTTCTGTTTTGAGACAGGGTCTGACTATGCTGGCCTCAACAGAGGATCCTCCTGCCTCTGTTTCCTAAATTCTGGGATTACAGGTCTGTGCCACCATATTCACTGAAGAGAGAATTTTGAAAATACCCAATGCAAAGAAAAGATTTTTAATAACCAAGGTGGTGGAGAAGCCAATTATTCTGTCTGACTACTGCACCCTGTATTTGTCTGCTGAAATACCATACTATACCCAATGAATGGTTACCATTATTACATGAGGATTAAAGCAAATATGTATCTCCTTTTTGTTTCTTAACCAAAACAGGCTGAGATTGCAGCTAATGAGATTTTGCGCCACTTCTGTTCCTCTGCCCACTAAGCTACACAGAGACTGTCAAGACTGCGTTCCAAATGAACAGCGAAATCAGGACATCCACTCTCCGGTTCAAGAGTTCATTAGACTCATTACTTCAAAGGAAGCCTGCTAAGTCTCCTGAGAGGATCTTTCTAAAATCGTTCCTTTCTCTCTCCCTGCTGACTTGCAGATCGCACTGTCCCAGACTCGGGTCCACATGATAAGCCGTGCAGGGCTGGGGTGAAGGGTGGGTGGAGGTGGGTGTGTGAGCAAGCTGTGCAGGGCTGGGGTGAAGGGTGGGTGGAGGTGGGTGTGTGAGCAATGTCAGCAGGTTTCGTCTGCTTGAATATGTTTTCCTTTTCTTTCTCATGATGTAGCTCTGGCTGACCAGGTTGGCCTTGAACCCACTGAAGCCCACCTGGCTCTGCCTCTTGAGTGCCGAGATTAAAGGCATTCTCCATAACTTTTTAATTTTTTATTGGTCTTTTTGGTTCATTAGAAGGTGTCAAAAGTCAGCCTCAGATGTCAACTCAGGCTGGGTATGGTAGGTCACATCTCTAAATCCCAGCACTAGGGACACTGAAGCAGGAGGATTGCTGTAAGTTCAAGACTACCCTGGACAGCAGAATAAGACTCAAAAATAAGAACAATAACACTAAAAAGATGCTGATTGTTGGGTGTCTTACTTAGGGTTTCTGTTGTTGAGATGAAAAACCATGACCAAAAAGTCAAGTTGGGAAGGGAAGGGTTTATTTGGCTTACACTTCCACATCACTGTTCATCACTGAAGGAAGTCAGGACAGGAACTTAAGCAGGGCAGGAACCTGGAGGCACAAGCTGATTCGGAGGCCATGGAGGGGTATTGCTTACTGACTCATGGCTTCCTCAGGCTGATTTCTTACAGAACCCTGGACCACCAGCCTAGGAATAGCACCACTCACCATGGGCTGGGCTCTTCCCCATGGATTACTGATTGGGAAAATGCCCTACAGCTGGATCTCATGGAGGCATTTCCTGGACTGGGGTTCCTTCCTCTCTGATGACTCTAGCTTGTGTCAGGTTGACACCCCAAACCCGTCAGTACAGTGGGCACAGTTTTCCCTTCAAATATCCACTATAACTTTGGAAATGTGACATTTGTCCTAAAGGAGATGACCACAGGCAAAATCTGGTAAGGTAGCTTGTAAAGGAGTAAGGAATGGGTGTAGGGGTTTGCGATTGAATTGCAGGACTTGGAACAGTGCTGCTGATGCCCATTTAGGCGTGGCACAGCCTGTGATCCTAGTCATCAGGGGCAGGGGCAGGAGGATTGACGTTCAAGTCAGCCTTGGCTACAGACCCAGGTACAATCTCAAGAAAGACCCGGGGAAGCTCAAGCCAGACACTCTCAGCGTGGATGTGGGGAGTAGGAAGGAGCTCCCACCCCAGCCGAGGAACTGCTGGATCTGGATAGCTGCTGAGAGAGAAGAGTCCGTTTTCCTTAAGGATGTGGGCCCTGCTACGTTGAACACTCTCCCTGGCAAGCTCCCTATCCAAGCGCATTTGGAAACTTGAATTGAATTCCAAATGTTTCAGGAAAAGGGAAAAGAGAGTATGAAGTTGTAAGGGAAGAGAGATGTGGTATATTTGGAAGGTAGATTTGGGAAAGCAAGTGAATATTATATAAATATATTCTATGAAATTCTCAAAGAAATGATACTTGTTTCTTTGAGACAAGGTTTCCCTAGGTAGCTCTGGCTGTCCTCGAACTCACTCTGTAGAGCAGGCTGACCTTAAACTCAGAGATCCCCCTGTCTCTGCCTCCTGATCAAAGGTGGATGCCACCACACTCAACTAAGATACAATAAAATATTTTTAAAGATAGGCTATATACATGTTAAATGTTTAATCCATTTCAGTTATTGTTATAGGCAGTAAAATAATTTAAAGCATTCCTGGGCTAAATAGACGCTTCATAGCAGAAAATCAGGATCTAAATTGGTCCTCTGCTCAGTAACCATCACTTTTTTCCTTACTCATATTCAAATTGCCAAATCCCTGCCAGGAGCAGTGTTAGTGAGTAAACCTGTCCACCCTCTTTGGCACACAATGACATGTGATGGTTTCCATGAGAACGGTCCCCATAGGCTCCTAGATTCAAATACCTGGCCACCATGAAGTGATACTCTTTGAAAGGATTAGGAGGTGTGACCTTGTTAGAGGAAGTGTATCACAGGGGGTGGGCTTGGAGGTTTCAAAATGCCCATTTCAAGCCCAGAGTGTCTCTTCCTACTTCCTGCAGATCAGATGTGGAACTCTCAGATACTTCTCCAGCGCCATGTCTGCCTGAAAACGGCCATGCTTCCCTCCAGGATGACCGCTGACTTAAGTTGTAAGCAAGCCCCAACATGGTGTCTCTTCATAGCAATAGAACAATGGCTAAGCCAAGGGCCAGGCCAGTGTATCTGAGTGGCAGACTTTGCACTATGATAAAAGAAACACTAAATAAAGAAAGATTGTTCAGATGCTGAGCATCCATGAGGTACAAGGGCTTGCAGCATGTGTGGGAACAGGGTGGCCAGGAACTTGAGCGACAGGATGGTCCAGAAAGGTTTGTAGAAAAGGTGGTTGCATCTGAATGAAATGTAGAGGAAAAATCAGAGTTTGTCAAACTTGGAGATGAAGGGAGCAGAAAAAAACCAGGAGGGCAAGACAATGGTTATGGCCTGCAAGTCAAGGCGAGAGGCAAAAGCCATGAAAGGAAGGGAACCAAGAATGGAGGGCCATTGCTGCTCCGATCTACCAAGAGGTCATGAGTATTGTTGCAGAAATCATTTCAAACAAGTCTATTTTGAGGCTCCTAGAGAACTGAAGAAATTGTGTCTGTGCGCTCATGTGTGTGTCCTAACCCTAGGCATCAGGATGAAGGTGTTCTTGACAAGCATTTCTTTCCTCTTGAACACAGACATGGGCATTGTTTGGTGAGAGACAAAGCAAATAAGAGTGATGTACAGCTTTGATAAACTTTTTTGTTTTGTTTTGTTTTTTTTTGAGACAAGATTTCTTTGTAGCCTGTCCTGGAACTTGCTCTGTAGACCATGCTGGCCTCGAACTCACAGAGATCCACCTGTCTCTACTTCCCGAGTGCTGGGATTAAAGGCGTGTGCCAACACCACCCGGCAGCTTTGATAACCTTTACCTAATTCTCACCACCAGTGCGTCATCTCTTATTTTACCATACTGGGTTTTGGAGACAAGGTCTGTGGTAGTTTGAATGTAATTGGTCCCTTAATCCCAAAGGGAGTGGCACTATTAGGAGGTGTGGCCTTGATGAAGTAGGTTTGACCTTGTTGGAGGAAGTGTGCCATGGGGGAGGAGCAGGCTTTGGGGTCTCTTTTGCTCAAGCTTCACTCAGTGTGACAGTTGACTTCCTGTTGCCTGAAAGATATAGTACTGTCAACTACTCCAGCACGGCATCTGCCTGCATGCCACCATGCTCCCTGTCATGATGATAACGGACCGAACCTCTGAAACGCTAAGTGAGCTACCCCGGTTAAATGTTTTTCTTTTATAAGAGTTGCTGAGGTCATAGTGTTTCCTTACAGCAATAGATACCTAAGACAGGATTTTGGAGACAAGGTCTTACCATGTAGCCCATGTTTACCTCAAACTCAATATAATAGCTAAGACTTTACTCCTCCTACCTCAGCACCCCTGAGTGCTGAGATTATAGACGTGTACCCCACATCAGATTATCACTGTGTCTCATGATGAGATCCTCAAACATTCCCCCCACATTCTTAACAACCATCATGTCAGCATGTGACCCTGAAAACTGCACTCGGGCACCTCCTTCTCACTTGTCCTCTGCCTAAAGTCATTTGTATCACAGAGCTTCACGCTGTGTTCTTTAGATCTTGGAGGCTAATTTCTGTTCTCATGAGCCATATCAAACAAACGGAGACATTTTTTCTGTGACTGACTAAAGACTAGGCTGTCCGATTCCTTCTCAGGTTGAGACTTTATTTAGAACCTGCTTTGGAGAGCTTATGGAATGGACACGCTTGTTTAAATCTGTAACCATGGTGACGCCCACCTGCATCCCTGGCACCTGGAAGACTGAAGCCCAAGCCAGGATGGGTGTGACCACACCTGTTGTAAGTTTTTAACAAGATTTTTAAAGCGTGTATGGCTGCCTGTGCCCGAAGTGGTCAGAAGAGGGAGTCATATCCACTGGAACTGGGGTTACAGATGACTGGGAGCCACCACGTAGGTGTTGAATCTGGGTCTTCTGAAAGAGCAGCCTTAAGTGATGAGCCATCTCCTTAGAGCACATTACCCAGTGTGAGGAGCGTCACCAAAGGCATCCATTTGTCACTGAAAATTCCATTTTAGGTCTACTGAAGTGGTTTCACTTTTGATACCAGGTTTTGCCATGGAGCCCAGCTGGCCTTGGATCTAAACCTTCCTGTCTCATCTCCTCAGGTGCTGGCATCACAGTGCACACCGTTTCATCTGGCCCACTGAGATTTTGTATTTATTCTCAAAACCGTGGTGGTTTGAAGGAAAATGACCCCCAAAGGGGAGTGGCACTATTAGGAGGTGTGGCCCTGTTGAAGTAGATATGGGCTTGTTGGAGGAAGGCTTTGGGGTCTCATATATGCTCAAGCCACACCCAGTATCTCAGTTCACTTCCCGTTGTCTGCATATCAAGATGTAAAACTCTCAGCTCCTTCTCCAGCACCATGTCTGCCTGCACACTGCCATGTCCCTCTATAATAATGGACTGAACCTCTGAACTGTAAGCCACCCAATTAAATGTTTTTCTTTATAATCATGGTATCTCTTCACAGCAATAGAAACCCTAACTCCTTTAGGGTTCTTTTTCTAGTCACCATAATTACCTCTTTTTGAAAAATAACAAGTTTATTCAAATAAATCAATGTTAAGAACTACTAACTACAACCATGCAATCTAGTTTTAGTTTTATATATAAATATTCCCCCATTACAACTATTTGTATGTATTTGTTCTCAAGAAATGTTATCTGAAGTCAGAGTGCTTCCTCAAGTATGATCTCAGACCTTGGGAAGCTGAAGCAGGGGGATTGCTGTGAGTTCAAGGCTAGCCTGGGGCAAACAGTGAGTTTTCAGGCCAACATAGGCTACAGAGTGAGTGGTGTCTCGAAACACCAAAAAAAAAAAAAAAAAAAAAAAAAAGCAGGGGCAATGAAATGGCTTGATGGGTGAAGGTATGTAGCACACAGGCCAGGTGTGGTAAGTATTTATTTTAAATAAATAGAAAAAACCTGAAAGACGCTTACAGGTTTTGAACTCAGTGAGGAAACATTACAATTTCTGTTTTTTAGGGTTTATTTTTAAGATTAGTCAAGAGTAGGGAACCATGGAGATGGTTCCATTGCTAACGTGCTTGATGTGCAAACATGAGTCCTGAGTTCAAATCCCCAGCCCTAACCAAAACATAAAAGATTGGCATGGAGGCATATACCTGTGATCACAGAGCTGGGCGGACAGAGTTGGGAAGATCCGCTGAGCTTACTGGACAGGCAAGCCGGCCAATCAGTGAGCTCCAAGTTTAGTAAGCCATCTTGTCTCAGAAACTAAGAGGGGAATCAATAGAAGACATTTGCCCCCCCCCCACGTGCCATGGCACACACTCATGCACACCCAAACACAAAGTGAAAGCAATGTGTACATTGTTTTAAAGAGGGGGCTGAGAACGAGTCGTGTGCTGCTGTGCAAGCGTGAGGACCTGAGTTCGAATCCCCAGGACCTGTGTGAAGTTGAGCATGATGGTACATTAGCAATCCCAGTGTTCCTGTGGCAAAATGGAAGGTGGAGAAGGGAAAATCTGGAAACTAACCCAGACAACTAGGCCAACGTATGAAGCAGCAAAACAAGAGTCCCCTCTTGGGGTCACTCAGAGATCCTGTCTCGAGGAAATAAACCAGAGAGCGACAGAGCTAGACACCTAACAGCCTCTCTAGCTTCTATGCATGTATTCTTGCACATGAGTGTGCATACATCATACACACACACTCACATACTCACACACACAGACACACACACCCCAAATGAAATTATTAGTCAGGGGTAATTGCGGTGGTTTGAATGTAATTGACCCCCATAAGCTCAAAGGGAGTGGCACTATTAGGAAGTAGTTTGGTTGGAGTGGGTGTGGCCTTGCTGGAGGACGTGTCACTGTGAGTGTGGACTTTGGGGTTTCCTATGCTCAGGTTGCTTCCCAGTGAGTCAGTTGACTTCCTGTTGCCTGCAAGATGTAGGACTCTTAGCTACTCCAGCACCATGCACCATGCCTGTCTGCTGGCCACCATGCTCCCCATTATGATGATAATAGACTGAACCTCTAAAACGGGAAGTGAGTCATCCTAGTTAAAGGTTTTTCTTATAAGAATTTCCGTGATCATGGTGTCTCTTCACAGCAATGGAAAACCTGACCAGGACAGTAACTTAGCATAAACTTTGAACCCTGAACGTTGAGCCAAGAAGCTGGCCTGGAACTCATGACCCTAACACCCCACCTCCTGAGTTCTAGATTACAGACCTACCCACCATCACACCCTCAGAGCCTCTGTATTTGATGACATGGGCAAGTACCTCCATCATCTATTTATAACTCAACCAAGTCACCTGCTTTAAAGACCAAGAGAGTAGTGGCTGGAGAGATGGCTCAGTGGTTAAGAGCACTGGCTGCTCTTCCAAAGGTCATGAGTTCAATTCCTGGCAACCACATGGTGGCTCACAACCATCTGTAATGAGGTCTGCCGCCCTCCCCTGGCATGTGGGCATACATGGAGGCAAAATGTTGTATACATAATAAATAAATGAATCTTTTTTAAAAAAAAAAAAAAAGACCAAGAGAGTTAAAGTGGACTTTAAACATTATTGAAGGTTTGGGTCTGACGGCAATTAGATTGCATGCTTAGCTGGTGTGATACTCTGAGTTCAAATTTATAACAAAAAAGCAAGCGTTACTTACCACAGAGCTGCTGCCTCTAATAAGCCAGAGGCTGAAGGAAATGGTCTGAAAGAGGGGTGGGTGAGAGACAGGGGCTTTAAATCCATTTGTTTTTAATCTCAGTCTCCGGGTGGCGATAGGGCTCGCTTCCCCAGGAGCAACTGGAGGGAGCAATGGGTTAAACATCCAAGAAATGCTAGGAGTAAATCGTTCAGGCCATGGGGTGAAAGCCAGTAGGAATTCTAAAAATAATGCTTTCTCCAAAACTGAAGCAGTCTGCAAGAAGCGAGATTGGAGCGCTTAATATCTCGACTCCTTTGCCCTCTGCAGCTGACATTCCCATTCAAAGTTGAGAACAAGCCTAGTTGGGGAGGGGGGCACGGGGCAGAGGAATCTGCAGAGGTTGGGAGAATTGAGGATGCTAAAGGACATGTATCAGACAAGTCTGGTGGCACGTAACTGAGTGGCGGCTCCACGGGGCTTCAGGGGCAGCTCTGACCCCGCTGTTGGTAAAGATGCAGAACAGCAGCCGGTCCAGCCTTGTCGGTAACCTTCCTCGCCTGCACCATTGTCATTTGTAATGCCACTGGTTTTGAGAGAAGCAAGAAGAACGGGAAAGCCCGTGTGTTCAGTAGCTTGTGCACATCCTTCCCGTTTTCTGTGCCCTTTATGCAGAAGAGCCTCCGCTCAGATCCCATCGCCTCCCACGGTGACCCCTCCCTTCTTCTCCTCCTCGCCTGTCCTTTGGTCCTCAGCATTTTAGCATCTGGAATGAGTACTAGACTCGCGATATAGTGGAAGAGACAGAAACTGGGCTCGGAAGTTTTGTTAGTTGTAGCTCACATTGCAAGCAGAACTCGGGCCCTCTGGTTCGAAGGCCACCATGTGTAACACCACACAGAAAGGTACTGAGGGGAGGTGGTCAGTCCCACCTACCTGGGCTCAGCACTCCAGAAGCTGTTCTTTGTGCAAGTGTTACCTCTTCCCACCCCACACCTTATTCTTCAAAGACAGGCTTGAACTGGAAGAATGTGTGTTCCCTCCACCAACAAGGCCCCCTAAGAACCTAGGCTTTTTTTTTTTCTGAGTGATATGGGCCAGAGGGAGAATCCATCCCTCTTCAGAAACCTCATCATTCTTGCTACTATTACCCAATGGCAGTGCAAATTTGTATTTACATCGAAAGGCAAACTTTTTGTGCCTCCAGTTCCATAACAATGGCACGGGCTAATTTTCCTTCCTCGTTGATGTTCCTGGTTCATGAAAAGTATAAACCTTTCCATGGAACTCAGTGAGCATAAACAGACGTGGATACTACTAACATGGAGCTGCAGGCACTATTCTCCAGCTCTGATCTCTCTCTGAGGAAGTTAGAGGGAGAAACCTAGCTGGTTACTGTAGCTTACAGGAGGGAGGCGGGCCTTGCAGGAGGGGGTGAGGCCTTGCAGGAAGGAGGTGTGACCTTGCAGGTGGTAAAGCTAGGAAAGCAGCAGAAGTGGAGGTCTGGGTCCTCTAGAAACTTTCATCTTGATGCAATGTTCTACTATAGCTGGGGGAAAACACTCTGAAAGCCAGGAAACTAAAGTCAAATGACAGACCGGGGGCAGAAGGATGAAAGTTCACAGGCTTGCAGAATGCTTTGGGCTACCCATGTATTTGTTCCCTTATCCCAGCCCTCAAGTCTCTTTGCTTTCAGATACTACAAATTCATCATACGACCACTGAAACCTCAAGTCTCCAAGACGGTCTCCATGCTCAGGTGAACAGCCTCCATCTCTTGCGTTGGCATCTGTGGTACTGTGTCAGAGTTCTTACCTCTGCTCTTCTGTATGAGTTCAACGATGGCTCTGCAAGGCAGAGCTCGAAGACCACTGTGTGAATCCATGCTGAGAATCTTGCTTATTGCTAAAGCTCAAACATCACTAAGACCTTGCCTTCAGCAGTGCGGTTAGTTGCAGTTGAGGGATAAAATACTCAAAACATAATGACTTAAATATCAATTCTACTGTGGGATAACGCTTTTGTACACTGTAAAGATTTGTCATTCGTACTGGTTTAATAAAACACTGATTGGCCAGTAGTCAGGCAAGAAGTTTAGGCAGGATGATCAGACGAGGAGAATTCTGGGAAGAAGAAGGGTAGACTCAGTCGCCAGCCAGATACAGAGAAAGCAAGATGAAAATGACTTATTGAGAAAAGGTGACAAGGCACATGGCTAAACATAGATAAGAATTATGGGTTAATTTAAGTTGTAAGAGCTAGTTAGTAATAAGCCTGATCAATAGAGAGCAAAGAATTTATAACCAAGATAAGCCTCTGTGTGTTTATTTGGGATTTAATGGCTTACAGGATCGGGCAGGACAGAAAGTCTGTCTACATAATTCTATAATTTTTTCATGTCCCATGAACTAGGAATGTAAGTACCATTCCACAGGTCACTTCTGCTTTGTGTGATCCCCTGAGGCCCCTGACTCACTTCCCTGATTGCTAGAACAGGCAAGAGGAGCATAGAGGATCTCACTCTGTGTCTCCTGACTCATGCTCTTTCCTGAGTCCTCACTGCATTACCATACAGCCCTTTCCCACAGGACAGTGGCCCTAGACCATGTCAGCTACCTTCTAACGTGGTCATTCTAACAGTAAAGTCAGGGCCTATGGCTATTTTAACATTCAGTCTCAGGAGTCACACAAACCTTACCAAGCCTATGTCAAACTGGTCAGCACAAGTTACGGGACTAGCCTACACTCAAAGAAAAGGCAATAGACACTGCTTCTCCAGTGAAAGACACCCCCATTACCAGCATCCAACATCTACCATCTAAGATCTACCTGGCCTGAATTCCAGTTTGTCATGGGCCCTGTGGCAACCCTCCACAGTCTCT